ATGCCAGGTACTTACAACCGTTCTTCACATGTTTTAGCCTCCAGTCCTCTAATGCTCTTGCTTGCTCTCCTTGAACAACTTAGAACAGTGTTTCTCAACCTTGGCCACTTGAAGATGTCCGGACTTCAACTCCCAGAATTCCCCAGCCAGCATTCGCTGGCTGGGGAATTCTGGGAGTTGAAGTCCGGACATCTTCAAGTGGCCAAGGTTGAGAAACACTAGATGCAAAGCAGCGGGTGAGCCCACACAACATCCCTCAGCTGGGCAAACCCAGCTGCCACACACCTGGCAGGGGAGCCCCTGCCCGCAGCCCTCCCTTCCAGCTCCCGGGAGAGACTGGCAGGAGGAGCCGAGAAGGGAGGCCCAGGAGAGCCAGCCACCAGCGCAACAGAATCACAAAACCTGCCCCAAGGGAAGGGGGCGCAGGAGCGGGCAGGGGAGGCCGTGGCATCTCCAGCGCCCGCCTGGCACAGAAGGGCAGCCAGGCTGGGGCTCCCCGTTAATACGGGCCAGGTAGCCCACGAACGCCCAACCGAGCGCCCCCCGTTCCTCCCCGTTCCTCCCGGTGCTTAAGTTCCAGCTCCCATCATCCCAGGCGGCGCGGGTGATGGGCCCTGGAGTCCAGAGGGGGCGGGGAAGCGGCCGACAGCCGCTTCTTCGAAGGGGCGGGGCGCAGCAGGGGGCGTGTCCCAAACACACACACACAGTATAACGGAGGGGGCGGGGCGTGGGAGATCCGCTGGGGGGCGTGGCCGGAGGAGTGAGGAGGGATGGGGGGCTTCGGAGGAGGCGGAGCGGCGGCGCGTGGCCGGGAGGGGGCGTGGCCGAGCACCTCACCCGCTTGCGTGGTGTCGCTGAGGTCCCAGCGCCGAGCGGCTCCTCCGGGGAAGTGCCTCAGGCGCCGTCCCGCCAAGCTCAGGCTGCCCGAGGCCACCGCTTCTTCCAGGGCGCGCTCGGGGCCCGGATGGGGCCCGAGCAAGGAGGAAGAGGGCGGGGGCAGCGAGTCGGCCCCGCCCTCGCCCGCCGCCATCCCGCAGGCTCCGCTGTCTCCGCTGCGGCCGTCGGGAGCCGAATGAGCACAGGGAAGCAGAGACGGCGAGACCCCAGCCAAAGGGGGCGGTGCAAGAAGGATAGTGTTCGCCTATGAGAGGCCGGACATGCGGAAAGCGGCCAATTAGAAGTGCCCTGGCCGAGGCGTTCCATGCCCGACAGCCAATCCCGTTTAAAATCTCCCTGACTCTTCCTCCTTTTAGTCCAATCGAATGCCCGGGATGGAAGGGAACTGGGACGTGCGCGAAAGCGTCTCGGTCCAGCCAATCGCTTACGAAGGAGGCAGATTCCTCCGGATCCAACTTTCCTGGCCGACACGTGAAAATGCTGCGCACGTGACTCTGTCGCCCTATCACATTCAAGGAGGCAGGTAGGGGAAACGATTGGCTCAGCGGGCGAGTCGACGACGGGCGTATCACGGCGCGTAGAATCGAGCGAAGGGCGGGCCTCCCTCTGACGGATTGGCTGAGCTGCCAATCAACAGTCCCGGCGGCAAGCGGTTGAAAGCCGAGGAGGCGCTTTCAGCCACGATAGGGGAGAATGGCAGTCACGGCAGCCAATCGTCGGTCGCACGGCCTTTCAGTGCCCGGACTGGGGAGCTTATCGACCAATCGGGACAAAAGGCGCCTCAGGGGGAGGCGGGCCCAAACCTGTGGAAAGGCCTCGGGAAAACTGAGGGAAACTGGCGCGGGGTCCTCTGAGCATAGGCAGAGTGCCTCGGCCGGATGCTGGCTGAATAGCCCTTAGAGGCACCGCGGCTGCGGCCAAAACTGCTGAAAGGCCCCCGCAGGTTCGCCAGTGGCTTGAGGAGCGCCTGTCCTGTGGGGGCTGCAGCCTCAGAGGAAACTTTTAACGGCTCTCTACTTTTTCAAAATTATTTTTTAAGAGTTTTCCCCCCCCTCAATCCCACCTATAAATAACCCAGAACAAACCTAACAGTCCCCCCTCCTCTACACCCCCCCCCTGGGACGAAGAGAGGCCCAGCCAGTCAACCCAGTCAGGATTAGAACTCGGTCCCCCTGGGCTCCCTAGGAGTGGAGAGGAGGCCCCCGGGCCAAGCTCTGCCCCGGGGCAGCCTCTCCAGGTGAGCCCAAGGGATGGTGAAGGTTTCCCTCCCTTTGGCTCCACCGCTTGGCCTGAAACGTCACGGGGGGTTGGACTAGATGGCCTCCAAGGCCCCCTTCCCAGTGTCAATTATCCTGGGCCTTTGGAGAGACTCCAAAGCTTTGCTTTTGCTGCCTGGGGGGGGGGTGTCTGGGAGCCCCCCCTTAAAAGGCCCAGGGGGGGGGGGCGCAGCTGTTTCTCTGCCAGAAGGGTCTCTCCCAGGTCCCCCCTCTGCCCCCATAAGGGGTGGCCAACAGCCTCCCCAGACCTTCAGAGGGGCTCTGCCCTTCCTGCACCTCCACAAGGATGCCCTGAGGAGGAGGAGGAGGAGACCCCCCCCAGACACCCCTGTCCATGTGGGGGGGGGGCTTGCCTTTATTCTCGCCTTGGGCCAGGCTGCTTAGCCCGGGGGGTGGGGGGCTCTCGGCTCCCCCTCCTAAACTCATCGCCTCCTAAACCCAGCACTTTAGGCTATAATTTCCTCTGAACAAGAGCTNGGGGGCTGGGCGGGCTCCCTCGGCCGCTCCGCCCTCCCTCCCTCCCGGCCGCTGGGCCGTTGCGGGCATGGCGGGTGGGCAGCGTCCTTCCAGGCTCCGCAAGCGCCCACCGGCCTTGGTCCCGAGGGCGGAGGGCGCTCCAGGCAGCCCCCTTGGGCAACGCCCGCTTCGGCCGCAGGGGAGCGAAACGGCTCCTCGGGCCGCCAAGCGCCTCCGGCTCCCGCTGGCATCTGCGCCCCGAAAGGCTCCGCGCTTTCCCCACCCGGACCTTTTCCTCCCGCCTGCGGTCCCTCCGCGGCCGGAGCTCAGCCGGCTTAAAAAAAAGGGGGGGTGCAGAGAGAAGGACCCCAAAAGCAACCGACCGCGCAGGGGCAGCCCCGGGCTCCGTTCCCCTTTCCTGGGATGCAGCTGGGGCTCCCCCAGGGATCTGGAGGGAATCCCAGCCCAGGAGGAAAGGGGGACTGGGGCCTTTCCCATGAGCAGAAAGGGGGGGAGCGGAGGGGGCTCCGGGGGGCAAAGGGAGGGCCTGTAGACGGATCCCCTAGAAGGCTGCAGCTATTTTGGGTCCCTCCAGTCAGCCAAAGGGCCATGTGGTTCCCCCACTTAAGCCCTGTCATCGTACCACAACCAGGAAGGGGGTCTTTGCCTTCTTGAATGAGACACCCCCCCCACAGGTCCATTTGCAACCCTCCCACCATGTTGATTCTGCAGAGATTCCTGGGGGGGGTCTGCTTTTCTTCCCAGCTGTTGAGTAGAAGCCCCCACCCCTCTTGTGTTTCTTCCTGCACCCGGCTGGTCTCCTGGTGGTCTCCTTCCACACGAGACCTTTGAAATCTCATTCCGTTGCAGAGTCCTCAAAACTGAACCGTTACAATTCAATGCTGCTGACTTGAAGCCCCGTTTCCTCTGCTCCAAGGTGAGCGGCCAGGGCCTTCCAGCGCCTGTTTTTAGAAAGCACCCCCAGCCCTCCGCTCCCCACCCCCACCCGGAGGACAGCTGGGCCACTGCGCTCCCTGGCTGCAGGCCTGGCCGGGTGACTTCAGGACAGCAGGGATGGTCCAGTCGCTCCGGCTCCCGCCAGCCCCCACATGCGCCACAAGGGGGCGCTCCGGCCCTGCTCTCGGAGCCTCGGACCCTTTGGGAAGCAGGCCGGCTCCCTCCCTGTGCTGGGCAGAGACAGCAGAGTGGGGGGGGAATCCTTGCCTTGCCTCTCAGCAGAACTCTGGGGGGGGGGAGCCCTTTCTCACCTGCCCCACTTGGCCAGCAGCAAAGGGCCGAGAGCAGCTGCCAGGGGGCCTGGACAGCCAGGGGCAGAGGGAGCAGCCCAGGCCCCCTCCCCTCCCTGAGCCTCCGGCCCTCCTCCTGCAGCCCCGCCCCACTGAGCCCCCCCCCCCCAGGTAGCCAAGGAGGAAACATTTTGGGGAGCTGCTATTGGGGGGGGCAGCAGCCTTTGGGGCAAAGCAGTGGGCTCTACCCCGAGCGCTTGGGGGGGGGGCAAGGAAGCGCCAGGCTGCAGCTTCCAATCCAGGCCGCTGTAGGAGCAATGCGACGGAGGCTGCACTGCTGCCGTGGGAGAGATGGGCCTGGCAGTGGGGTGGGATCCTTTCTGCAGCCGCACCGTCTGCCCCAAAGCTGCAAGCCAGATCGGAGCCCAGGCCGGCCCGGTTTGATGCCCATCCCTGGGCCAGGACCCCAGCGCTCAGATATATGCTGGGGAACTCACGTAGCAAGGTGTGGGGAGAAAGGGGGCAGATCGGGTAGGGGAGGGGCAGCCAGAGCCACCTTTTCCCCACCTGGCCTTTCCAGGCACAGAAGGCGGCACCTCCCCTCACATGGCCCTAAGCCATCGGGCATCTGCCTGGTGGGGGCTGCATCTGCAATGCCACGCAGGAGGAGGAGGAGGGAAAGAGGGGGCAACATCATCTCACAACAAAGGCTTCCAGGCACCAAATACCTTTAAGACAGTGGGACGGGTGTCAACAACGTCAAATGGGCGCCATTCCCCACCCTGGAGTCCGTGAACTGCTCCCCTGCCCGTTTATTGGTTACATGGTGCTGTTTGGGGGGGGGGGCTCCCGCAAAGGCCGGGGTGGGGGGTTTCCTCAGGTGCGGTTCCTCCTGGCCCGGCCGGTGCAAGGCCGCTTGCTGAAGTTGGTGAGAAGCTGCTGCTGCTGCGGCCGGAGTGGCACAACGAAGCTGCTGGGGGGCAGCTGCCCGCTTCCGTCGGCCTCCACCCTCCCCATGAAGACATAGCTGGCCCCTGCGGAGGAGAGAGAGAGGTGAGCCGGAGGCAGGGGAGGATCTGAACTCAGATCAGAGGCCTGACTGAATTCCCCTGCTAATCTGTGCAGCCGGGGGGCGGGGGGGGGCAGCCGTCAGGGATTTCGGCCACTTCTGGTTAAGGTTGTGTAGTCGTCCCGCGTGCGAAGGGGCTCCCGAGAAGCCTCACCTTTCTTGAGAATGGGGCACTGTCTGCAGGGCACGTCCAATTGGAAGGTGGTGCCTTCGGCTGCTTCTGGGGGGAGGCTCAGGGCCCCCGTCTTGTAGGCCTGGAGGAGCGTCACGGTGGCTGTGACCCGGCTCCCCTCTCGTCGCTGGAGGGCCTGGACGGTGCCGCTGACCACTGCAAGCAGGAGATTGGGGAGCGGGTGAGAGGCGGGCAGCAGGGTGCCCTCTGCCTGGGGACAGGAGGTGCCATGCAGAGATCTGGGACCCCCTCTGATTCCGAGACGCCTTTGCTCCCACCCCTGGGGGCTCCCGCGTAATGGCTCCTGGGGCTGGCAAGGTCGGGAGAAGGGAGGCAGGCGGATCTCCCTGCAGCCGGAAGACAAGCTTACCAAAATCGCTGGCGCAGAAGTTGGTCTGCAGGTTCCCCGTCCGCTTGCAGCGTTGCGGGCAGGTGACCTCACCTGGAGGGAGGCAGGAGGGAGGTGGAGAGAAAAGGCCAGTCGCCCCCTTCGGCTTCACTGCTCAGAAGCCCAGCACTCTGCACGTGTTCCCTGCTCCAGGCCGGCTTCAGCGCCGACTCCTCCCACGCGGCCCCCCTGGGCTCCGGACATGGGAGCAAAGCAGCCCCCTCCCCCCGTCCCTCCCCAGGTCTTTTTTTTTTAATAAAGTTTTTTTTATTTTCCCCTTTCCGATTCATTCACAAATGTCCATTCTCATAATTGCTCCTTAACCTTCGTCTATTCATCATTAATCTCTGTAATTATTTCCTCACAAATATAGAGAATACATTTCAGGTCATTTTCTTGTCATCCTATACCTCCATCTTATTTTGCAACAACTTTGCTCCTTCCATCTTCTCAGCCTCCCTTCTCTGCCTTCTTCTTTCCTTCTCTCCTTCCTCCTTTCTTCTTCCTCCTCCTCCTCTCTCTTTTTCCTTCTTACCCTCTTAATTCCCTTCCCTTACTCCCTCTGCTTTCTTTCTTTCCCTCCTCATCCTTCCTCCTTTCTCCTTCCCCCTCCTCCTCCTCTCCTCTTCCTTTTCCCCTCTCTCCTACTCTTCATTCTCCTCCCTTACTCCTTCGGCTTTCTTCCTTTCCCTCCTCATCCTTCCTCCCCTCTCCTTCCCCCTCCTCCTCCTCTCCTCTTCCTTTTCCCCTCTCTCCTACTCTTCATTCTCCTCCCTTACTCCTTCGGCTTTCTTCCTTTCCCTTCTCATCCTTCCTCCCCTCTCCTTCCCCCCTCCTCCTCCTCCTCTTTTCTCTTCCTTCTTCCCCTCTCTCCTCCTCTTAATTCCCCTCCCTTACTCCTTCTGCTTTCTTCCTTTCCTTCCTCATCCTTTCTCCTTCCCTTCTCCTTCCCCCTCCCCCTCCTCTTCTCTTCCTTTTCTCCTCTCTCCTACTCTTCATTCTCCTCCCTTACTCCTTCGGCTTTCTTCCTTTCCCTCCTCATCCTTCCTCCGTTCTTCTTCCCCTCTCCTTCCCCCCCTCCTCCTCCTCTTTTCTCTTCCTTCTTACCATCTCTCTTATTCTTAATTCCCCTCCCTTACTCCTTCTGCTTTCTTCCTTTCCCTCTTCCTCCCCCCTCCTTTCCATTGTTGCTTATCCACTTTCTCTGATGGGTCCTCTAATGGGGTGGCATTTCAGCAATCCCAATTTTATATTTTCATACAAATAATTCCCTCTATTACATTTTATTTCTGATATTACATCCACTTATATCATTTTTCCATTTGTATACTTGCATTTTAATATTTTCTTATCCCCCCCTAATTTAATAATGTGTCATCTGCCTTATTTATTTCCTGTTTTGTTCCTTTCTCTATTTGTATCTCTTGTAAAATCGCCCCCCTGTCTTGTAGTACACTGATTCCTCTTTATCCTTTAATGTCAATCTGTTCGTTTCTGCACAATCTAATATCTTCTTTATTATCTCCCCTCTGCTCCCCAGAGCTCTTACCTGCGGTGGGCACTGTGGGGCCTGCAGCCTCCGAACGGCCTTGGGCAGTGGGTTTGGGGCGCGGAGCCGGCTTGGGTCGGCCTGCAGGCTTGCTGGGAGTTTTGGGCTTGGGGGGTCCAGGCTTCCGGCTGCTCTGCGTGGGCTTGGCACCTGGGAATACCGGGATGACGGGCTGGGCCCTGGTGGCGTCCACCGGCTCATCCTGACTCTTCATCTCGTACGAGGCAGAAAACCCGTCAGCCGTCACGCTCATATCCGAGACAAACTGGACCAGGAGCTCATTGCCCTCCGAGCGGATGGAGCTGCGGGGAGAGGTGGGGAGGAAGGTGGGGAAGAAGCACCCAATGGGCCCCCCCAGTCTGAACTGGGCTCCATGGCCGGAGGGCATCTGGCAAGGGCAGCCCTGGGGCCCAAGGAGGAGCCGTTAATGGGAAGACCCCTGAAGCTGGTGAAAAAGGAGGATCACGCATGCAAACCCACCTGGGCGACTTCTCTCCACAGAATTTGCCCACGCGGCGCGAGTCGTCTTGCTCCCTGCCGTTGAAGACGGCTACGTAGTCGTAACGGCAGTAGGTGTCGTACTCCACGTCAAACTTCCCAAAAGTCAGGACGATCACCTAGGCCAGAGGGAAGCCGAGGGGTCACCCTCCCGCTCCTCAGTTTTAGCCCCCCAGCATTTGGAACGAGGGTTGCGATTCTCTGCCCGCAACAAAGGGGGGGGGAGGGAGCCTCCTGCCACTTTACCTGGCCCTGTGGGGCAATGATGTGCCAGGAGCAGCTGATGCCAGGCGGGTAGTCGCTCTCGGGCCAGTTGGGGGTCTTGAGGGAGCCTTGGCTTTTCTCCAGCTTCCCCCCACAGAACTGGTTTTCTGCAAGAGAGGAAACGGGGCCCAGTTAGAAGCAGAGAAGAGACCCCCGGGCCTCTGCAGGGTCTTCTCCAGCAAGCGATGCTTTGCGGGAGCGGGAAGAGGCTGGCAGTTTTGCTTTTTATTACATTTATTTAGATTTATCAGTCTGCCCACTTGCAGCGACTCTGGGATTTCTCACGTTTAATGCAGCTGTCGGGACAAGACCCGGACTTCCAGCTTTGCAAAGGGCCCACAGGAACTCGCCCCTTTGGGTTCAAACCTCCCATTTTTCTGGAGTCAAACTGAATAGGTGGAAGTGGATTTAGCAGCATGGAAATGGCACAGAAAGGCAAGTCTCGGAGAGAGGAGAGCTGACATCGCAACGGCACGACGTGCGGTCTTGGTGCTCCAAGATCGCAGTCAAATTTCTGCAGCTGGATGGTCCATTTGGACCTAAACCGTCATGCAGAGACGGTGATTGAGAAGGGCACCTCCTGCTGATCTCAGGGACACCGCAAAGTCCCTGAAAGATCCAAGAATAGCTCTTTTTTCCCGGCGACAGAAATGCAGCTAATGAAGCTGCTGAAGTTGGGACAGCTCCGAAACAGGAAGAAAGTGGAAAGAGAAAGTGTGTCGAATTGGTGAGGAAATTTTATTATTAGAGGAAGAGATTACCCAAGAAATTTTTTAAAGTTTTTTTTAATCTTAATTTAAGATTGAAGACAAAAGAGTGTAGGCGGCAAGACTGATCTGCATTGAATTTAGTGTGTTCTCCAGTGTCTAATTTATTTTTTTCTACGGATGGAACTTTTGCAGGGCCTCCCTATTTTTTAAACTA